CTGGGTTTCCCCAGCCACTCTGGGCGGCTTCCACAGAGACCAAAAATACACTAAAATGTCACACATTAAAAACTTCCCTGAACAGGGCTGCCTTAAGATGTCTTCTGAATGTCAGGTAGTTGTTTATCGCTTTGACATCTGATGGGAGGGCGTTCCACAGGGCGGGGGCCACTACCGAGAAGGCCCTCTGCCTGGTTCCCTGTAGCCTTGTTTCTCACAATGAGGGAACCGCCAGAAGGCCCTCGGAGCTGGACCTCAGCATCCGGGCAGAATGATGGGGGTGGAGACGCTCCTTCAGGTATACTGGGCTGAGGCCATTTAGGGCTTTAAAGGTCAACACCAACACTTTGAATTGTGCTCAGTAACGTAAACACAGAGACACATATGTTACCTATCCAAATGTTTCAGAAACAAAAGGGAAGTCCCTCAGGTATACTCCAATTTATGGTTGTTATGAAACTTCATTTTTTCCCCTGAAGCTTTTGTTTTTATTTCTGTGCTGGAAGTGACTTCTGTATTGGCCAGAATTGGATGTCTCTTTTGGTACCGTTCTTGGTAGTTTTGATTTGAATTTTGCACCGTCTTGCTTTTCTTCTATATATGGCTAAACACACGTTTCCGAAACCTATGAAAAATAATAACAATTAATTATATATATTTTAAAAGATGTTACAATTACAGTAATTTTTATCACAAAGGCAAAATACAAGCTTCAGCATAACACAACTATCCTCAAGCAGCTATTCTTCAAGCAGTGCAGGGAGGCTGCAGGATACCCTTCTAAATTTTCCACAGTAGCTTTCTGGAGAATGGTGGAAAATTAAAGCGGAAGTTAGACCAAGCCAACAAGTTTTCACAGGCCAGATTTGTTTTTCAAAATGAAGATGGCCCAGGGCAGGAACCAGCAGGGAGTAATATTAGATGTATACCTCACATCAAACTCTGTTTGACAGGGGAGGGACTTCCTGTGGTGTCATAGTGATGCAACCATCGTGGGGTGGGACTTCCTGTGATGTCACATGATGTCAGCTGTCAAGCAGAGTTTGATATGTGGTATACACCTCATGTCAGGTTCTGGTTTGTCAGCCAAATCAGGACTTTGTTGTACTTTGCTCATAATCAAGTCCACCGTTGTGAATGAACGTCGTTTGTGAACGCATAAGCACGCTCAGAGAAATAGGACGGCCCTGGTGTCTTAGGGCTGTTGTTTCTTCCCCATGTGTTTGACCCAAAGTTCGGGAAGCACTGCTTTAATATAATAATATTGGTCAAGTTGGGGTGTTGTCCAGGGAAACATGCCCCGGAAAGTTTATGCACAAAACATTTGCATACAGTGGTACCTCGGATTACATACGCTTCAGGTTACAGACTCCGCTAACCCAGAAATAGTACCTCGGGTTAAGAACTTTGCTTCAGGATGAGAACAGAAATCGCGTGGCAGCAGCAGGAGGCCCCATTTGCTAAAGTGGTGCTTCAGGTTAAGAACAGTTTCAGGTTAAGAACGGACCTCCAGAACGAATTAAGTACTTAACCCGAGGTACCAGTGTACAGAGCAACAAACCTTTGTGCAGTTTGTTTCACACAGCCTTTCTGTCACAGCAGCTTTTACTCGTCTTCAGCAAAACTTGACATGCTATGCATAAATTGCAGGACTGGAAGAAGTGCAGTCTAACCTGCAGAATCGTAGAATCCTGACGAACATGCTAATTTTAGATTGTGTGCGCATTATGCATTATATGCAGAGACAAAATGAACACCATATAAAAATAAGTTTACATAAATTGTTAACAATGTTTCGAGAAGACATTAAATCCTGTCCCCTTTCTCTTCCATTAATCTGTGCTGGAGCAAAGAGTGGAAGTAACAGAAAAAATATTTCAAATGGCCTCTTGGTACATTGCTTTATAAAATTGCTGATTCAAGCGGTAGCAGGATAGGAACACATGCTAATGTAAGAAACAGGGAACCCAGCCACAGCAGCTCCTGCGTTTGCTAGAGAATTACAAGTACATTTGAAGAAGCCTCTTAATACTTTGAGTCATCAGCAGACATTGATCTCGTTCAGTCGTAATGGCAAACTATGGTTTAGTGTTACATGCATAAGCCTCTGCTCATACCTCACATATATTTTATTTTTCAAATAAATTTTTATTGTTTTCAACATGTAATTCTTTCCCCAACAATCCTTATTGTCACATTATAATCCCCTTGACTCTGCCGAGTCCTGACTTTCGTCCCTCCCGACCGGTGGTATATACATCACATACTTTTTGAGTATATTATTGTCATAACTTTACTGTTTTACATTGGAGGTGTTATTCCAGTCCTGCTAGTGTCTTAATATCTTTGTTGTTCTCCTTTATATATTCAATAAATTTATTCCAATTGTTATTGTATCTTTGGTCCTCTTGTATTGTTGTTGTTTAGTCGTGTCCGACTCTTCGTGACCCCATGGACCAGAGCACGCCAGGCACCTCTGTCCTCCACTACCTCCCGCAGTTTGGTCAAACTCATGCTAGTAACCTTGAAAACACTATCCAACCATCTTGTCCTCTGTCGCCCCCTTCTCCTTGTGCCCTCCATCTTTCCCAGCATCAGTGTCTTCTCCAGGGAGTCTTCTCTTCTCATGAGGTGGCCAAAGTACTGGAGCCTCAGCTTCACGATCTGTCCTTCCAGTGAGCACTCAGGGCTGATTTCCTTAAGAATGGATGCGTTTGATCTTCTTGCAGTCCATGGGACTCTCAAGAGTCTTCTCCAGCACCATAATTCAAAAGCATCAATTTTTTGGCGATCAGCCTTCTTTATGGTCCAGCTCTCACTTCCATACATCACTACTGGGAAAACCATGGCTTTAACTATGCGGACCTTAATATTTTAAATTAACCATGGTTTATCCTTATGCCAGTGCTTGAAATCATCGTTCATTTTTATTAACTGTAATTTAGGACAGCTTTCCCCCAACCTGGTGCCCTCCAGATTTTTTGGTGTTTTTTTGTTGTTGTTGTTGTTTTTTGGGCTACAGCTCCCATCAGCCTTAGCCATGCCGCTGGGGCTGATGGAGTCAGAACCCAACAACTTCTGGAGAGCACCAGTTTGGCAAAGGCAGGTGTAAGGAGACAAACCAATATTGTATGCCATGGTTTCAAATGGAGTGGTTACCTGGGAATCCCATGCATTCTGTCGAGTGTACCATGGCAAGTTAGAAATGTAGGAAACCTGCTCTGTGGAGGACTGCCCTTGAGGTTGACTCAATGTATTGGTCATGACTTATCAAGTCCCGAATGACCTGGGACTTTAAAAGCTTGAATGCCTCTCTAAATATAGTCCTGCCTGGGTGTGTTAAGATCAGCTAGGGAGGCTCAGTCTTGCATTCTGACATCGGGTGTCAAACATCATGCAGTGATCTGAGAGGGTCTTCTCCATGATATCCGAGTTGTGAAACTCCTCTGCAGTCTGTCAACTTTCGCTCTCTCTTTCCCATTTACATGCCAGGAGAAAGCATGGCTAAATCACTCCGGCCTTTGGAAAGTTTTAATGTTCAGCTAGAATTTGTAGGCATTTGCATTTTGATGATTGATTGAAACATGGATTTTATTCTGCACTTAACGTGTTGTAGATTGGCGTTTCGAAATGTAATTTCACTGTTCTTTGTCCTGAGATCTTTGCAGGGGAAGGTGGGCTATTAATATGTCAATAAATAAATAACATCTGGGTTCAGCCATAACAAGTAACTGCCCTTAACTTAAAATGGAAGCAAAAGCTTGTGTCATTGTGGCCCTGGCAAGGGGCAGGGAGGGAGGTAGAGATGAAGAGCCCAAATTTTATTCACATTAATAAGGCAATTGGCTCAGTTTAGATAGCATGTCCGCCCACAGTTGAGAATGCTGAATTGACAGGTCATGCTTTGAGATCAGCCAGCAAGCCAGAATCAGAAATGATGGCTACAAAAAGGTTTTCAAACCATGGTGTGTGCTAACATATGGTTTTCATCTCTGAGTTGACAAACCATAGTTGTAGCTGTAGCGCTGGAGGCTGCTGCTGCCTCGTAAAAAAATGGGAGTGACAAGGAGATGGAAAGTGAAAGCAGATGTGGGTTCTGAGCTATTTCAGTTAATGATTATTCCTTCCCGGTATACTTTGGGGGTGCAAAATATTTTAACGTTCCTTTATGATGTCACCCCTACAATATTCCCATTTGTAAATTGGAGAACTGAGTTGGAGAGACTTGTGCACCCTATTGATGGCGTGCATCGCAGTTCAGATATACCGTATTTTTCGCTCTATAAGACGCACTTTTCCCTTCCTAAAATGCAAGGGGAAATGTGTGTGCATCTTATGGAGCGAATGCAGGCTCCATGGCTTCAGCGATCACTCTTGCTCTCCTGGCTTCGCTTCACTGGAGAGGCGCAGCGCAGCTTTCCCTCTGCGCAGCGCCCCTTCAGCGAAGCGGGAGGAGAAATGGAAGGGGCTCCGTTTCTCCTGCCGCTTTGCTGAAGGGGCGCTGCGCAGAGAGGGAGAGAATTTATTTTTTTCTTGTTCTCCTCCTCTAAAACTAGAAAAATGGAGCGAAAAATGCAGTAGCTATCTTGGGCCCAAGTCGTAAGATGGTCCAGAATGAACAATGGCTGCTTTCACTTCATCCAATATTATTCTTGATTCTTTTTCTTATTTTTTATGGATACAGAATGTCTTTGGATACTGTAGGATACAGAACGTCTTTTTCTGTTGCCCCATTTTATGTACAAATTGACGGCATCTCTTCTGGACTGCAAAAAGAATGGCAAAACAAGGAAAACAAGCACTCTTTTGTTCTATGTATATATTTAATGTTAATAATAGTGGTAAGATTAATGTGGGTTCCCCTTGAGCCTCAGCGTTTTTTCTTTGTTGATTTTGGCATGCTGGCGCCTCATTTGTTTTCTGATTATCATTTTGAGAAACATTGTCAGTAACTGGGTTGAATAATTGATCGTCATCTCTAATTATGCTGTTCTCCACAGGTGCCTGGAAAAACTCCAGATGGGACTTCGCACCATCTCCAGTTTGAGGGAAGAGAAAGACAATATGCCTCCTTACCCAGGTAACTTCTGTTTTAGATTTACATACTCTCACTCTCTTGTATATACGTAGATGTATAAGCACACACAGGCACACTGCTTCTGCAGGCGGGTTTTCTGCTATTGTCGCACTGTTTAGCAAAATCTGCATCAAACAGACATCTGGCAACGAAATGAGAGATTATGCTGCAATTTTGTCGTGCTGCCCTTCTGCCAATGATTTAGTGCCATCTTTATAGCTGTGTTAATAATTTAGCCAGCCAATTTGGAGGGAGGGGGGGAGGAAGAGTAAAGTCTCTCTCAATGAACATGTCAGCAAGAGTCATGATCTGCCGAAGAAGAATATGACATAGAGGGAGCTTATTCCACAAGAGTTATAGTAGGTCTTAGCAGAGCCTGAGACAGAATTTACAATGAAAAAAAATCATAGCTAGCAATGACAGAATTGTGCTGTGAAAAGTTCAGCAGTGCAGCAGTTTGTGGCTTCAGAGGTGAGTGAAAAGGACTTGGTTTCTTGTTTCTTTCTCCCAATACACTAAGGCTGCAATCCTTTACACACTTACCGTATTTTTTGCTCTATAAGACTCACTTTTCCCCTCCTAAAAAGTAAGGGGAAATGTGTGTGCGTCTTATGGAGCGAATGCAGGCTGCGCAGCTATCCCAGAAGCCAGAACAGCAAGAGGGATCACTACTTTCACTGTGCAGCGATTCCTCTTGCTGTTCTGGCCTCTGAGATTCAGAATATTTTTTTTCTTGTTTTCCTCCTTCAAAAGCTAGGTGCGTCTTGTGGTCTGGTGCGTCTTATGGAGCGAAAAATACGGCACCTGGGAATAAGTCCCACAGAACTTAATAGGACAAACGTCTGAGCACAGGATACAGCTCTGCTCTATGACTAAAGAACATTGGAAGTGAGGAGAATTGTTAGAACTTCTCTTGATTATGGGGGGGGTGTAGTAAACCTGTGATCTTCAGGTGAAGGGCAGTATAGAAATTTAATTAAGAAGAAGAAGAGTTGCATTCCTAATCAAAACTCTGCTCCTTTATTTTTCGAAGGTTGCACAACCACTCCGTTCCTTCTCAGATTTGTAAAATCAGAACCAAAGATGCCCTAGGCACAGTGTGTGTTACTCATCACCAGGCACCTGTTGGGTAGTACCTGCGACTTTCACACCTGTGGGGTTGCTTCTCCTTTCCCTGCATACTCCCTAGAGAGCTACAGAACTGTGAAAATCAGATTTGACCAGAGATCACAGTGACACACACCACATTGATGTGTGTGTCCTCTGTGCAGTAACAGCTCCACAGTACATCCTCCAAGTATCTGTAAACTGCCTGCGTAGTTAACTCCATATCCATGGTCATGCGGAGAGCAAGTCAGCAGCCATTTGTTCTCCTCTCTCCCCATCCCTGCTACTGGCTTCTTGAGATCACTGTGGCAAGGAAGGGCTTGGTGAGCAGAGTTCGACCAAGCCCAGGTCAAATTCCAGGAAGGCAGGTCCACAAACATGAATACTGGAGTTCAGGTTCCAGGATGGCTAGCAAGGGGCAGGTTCCACAAACAAGGTAACAAGTGGAGGTCAGGTCTCGGAAAAGGACAAGCAAGGATGTGGTTAGCACAACGGACAGCTCCCAGTGGACCTGGAAACTACAGTGGTGCCCCACAAGACGAATGCCTCGCAAGACGGAAACACCCGCTAGACGAAAGGGTTTTCCGTTTTTGAGCTGCTTCGCAAGACGAATTTCCCTATGGGCTTGCTTCGCAAGACGAAAACGTCTTGCTAGTCCTGCGATTTTTTTTCGCTCCCCCCCCTTTTTCTAAGCCGCTAAGCCACTAATAGCCTTTTAGCCACTAAGCCTTTAATAGCCGCTAAGCCGCTAAACCGCTAATAGCGCTAATCCGCTAATCCGCTAATAGGGTTGCTTCGCAAGACGAAAAAACCGCTAGACGAAGAGACTCGCGGAACGGATTATTTTTGTCTTGCGAGGCACCACTGTAGAGAAGCCTTACTTGAATGCTGCTTAACAGCTAGCAATCTCTGAGGAAACCTTGAGTAGGTTTCCGGTTTCCTCTAGGTAGCCAGTGGCGTCCCGTGATGAATGATGCCCTTGCCTTAAAAGGGACCTGCTTCCTTCAGGAGCCTTTGCTTGTGACGACACAGAAGTAACCGCAGCTTTGGAAGGAGAGTGTGAAGGCAGTAATGTTTTCTCACATGCTTTGAAATTCTAGCTACTTGATGAGCAAACAATGGTTTGTCTGAGTCAGGGAAAAAGAAATACTTCCATTTGACGTGTAACAACCCTCTCCTCAGGGAGGCCTGGCACCAACTTGGCCATCATTTTGGAACCAAAAAAATACTTTTTCCTTCTCCCAGGCATTTGGGATTGGATGTTTTTATTCAGATTATGGTTTCAATATGTATTTTCATTGTGGTGTTTTTCTTCCGGTTGTAAATCACTTTGGGACTTTTGGTAGTGGAAAGCGATAAATATCCTTAATAAACCTGACTCAGTCAGTGAAGCATGAGACTCTTAATCTCAGGGACATGAGTTTGAGCCCCGGGTTGGGCAAAAGATTCCTGTATTTAAAGCCCTAAACGGCCTCGGTCCAGTATACCTGAAGGAGCGTCTCCACCTCCATCGTTCTGCCCAGGCACTGAGGTCCAGCGCCGAGGGCCTTCTGGCAGTTCCCTCACTGCGAGAAGACAAGTTACAGGGAACCAGGCAGAGGGCCTTCTTGGTAGTGGCACCCGCCCTGTGGAACTACCAAACTTAGAAGACATCTAAAGGCAGCCCTGTTTAGTGAAGCTTTTAATGTTTAATAGGTTATTGTATTTTAGTGTTTTGTTGGAAGCCGCCCAGAGTGGTTGGGGGGACCCAGCCAGATGGGCGGGGTACAAATAAATAAATTGTTGTTGTTGTTGTTGTTAATAGTACAATGCAATAAGCTAGAGGGTTGGGGACCCAAAGCTGTGTTGTGAGACAACCTTGGGTTGGGTCACACCAGGAGCACAACTGTTCCTTTTCTTTTAAGTCCCTTAGTGTGTTTTTTTTTAAGAATATGGGAAACATAGGATACAGTGGGAAGATGTTGGGAGATGAAGGAGAAAGGGAAGGGAGAAGGCAGCAGAAAATTGGGCTTCTATATTAACAACTGAAAACTAGGTAACAAGTAGCAGGTTGGGGTGAAGGATGGACTCTACGTCTGAAAAAACTAAAAGGCTGCTTTCTGGTATAAATAATAAATTGTTGTTGTTGTTGTTGTTGTAGTTGTAGGGGGTTGGCCTATATGGTCCTTGTTGTCCCTTCCAACTCTACAAATCTTTGATTCTATTATTCTGTTTGATGGGCACCTGCCATGGATGCTTGAGTTGTGATTCCTGCATTGCAGGGGGTTGAACTAAATGACTCTTGGCTTCCCTGGCAGCTCTACAGTTCGATGATTCTATGTAACTGGTGCCTTTCTCTCAGTACATGGACAGCCAGCATGGTGCCTGCCAAATGTTATTGGACTACAACTCCCATCATCCCTGACAATTCGCTAAACTGGCTGGGGCTACAATTGGAGTTGTGGCCCATATCTACATGACACTACGTCGGCTATCCCTGTCTTAGTACTTCAGAATTTCAGGATCCTTTCTCAGCTTGAGAAGGATGGGTTCTGGTTGAAGATGCTTTGCTGCCTCCCTTGAGCAGTCCTACAAAACTGTTCAAAGATCTGGCGTCTGCTAAATGGCCGTGTGCCTCCACCCTATTTTCCTGGCCGCCCATGTTTTTACTCAAGTAATCCTGTCAGTATATTTTTACAAGAAAGTGTTGCGCTCTTAAGAGATTGGGTGTTACTCAACTGTGCTTTGCTCAGAGTGGGCGCACTCAAATCAATGGCTCTAATGGAGCAATTTTCATCCATTTTAGTGGGTCTACTTTGAATAAAACTTAGTTGAGTGCCACTCACTGTGTTTATGCCATGCTTCCATTGATGCGCGATAACAGGGCAGGATCCCAAATAAAGGGAATTGGCATCTTAATTTCACTCCCCCTATTATTTTGAATAGTGAGCAATCTGGGACATGAGCACCTTTCAGAAGTAATGCAAAAATGATCTACATCTAAGAGGTAGCCATCTATGTACAGCATTATTTTAGTTCTGTTTTGCATTATGTTTCCTAAAGGCTGTGGCTTATATTAAACAGTATTAAGAATATCAGATTGGATTTATTGGGTCTCTCCTGTAAGAAAAGTTTTCCCAGGCTTTAACTTGCTTTGACTATACACTAAGATCTGTTAATAATGTTCTCCAGTTTAAAGGGGATTTTTACATTTCAGACTATCTCTTTAATTCACATCTGTGACTAATATGGGCCATAATTTGCTAACTTAGTATCAGAGGAGCTATCTTCCTTAAAAGTTTAGTTTGGCTCCCCACTGTTTTCCTGCATGCCTCAGGTAATGAGATATTTTCAAGATCCGTTTTTAATCTTCGGAAATTATTCTCCGCTACTGTCCATTTGTGTTGCGAGTCCCACTGGCAGGTTATATATTGCAGAAAGTTACTAAAGTTTCCATAAAGGAGCAACTTAAAAGGCTGAGCCAAACATACCCCTCTGTCCAGGTCTTTGCTTCCATCCTTTGATTGCGTCCTTCCACTCATTTCCTCTTCCTAACAGATCTATTCCATTCCTTCTGCGCCTCCAAGTCCAAGTCATTTCTAGGCCTGCAGCCACTGCTGTCTTCCATCTCATCTCCGAATCCCCTCTATTTCTTTTACATCTGCTCTGTAATAGATCATCAGAACTGAATATAGTACCCAGCTGTGCATGTACTATTGATTTATATTACATAGGAGCTTTTTCAATATCATTTTCCATTCAGTTCTCCTCCACCTCAACATCTTGTTTACTACTTTGACTGCAGCTTCCGCCGGGCGTTTAGCAGATTTACATTGTTCACACGAACACAAAGATCTCCTTTCCTGATCGATTCTAAGTCTAAATCAACCCATTAATCTTACTCCCTGCTTTTCCAAACTTCAGTTTTTATCTCTGTTC